AAGACCAGCATTAGTCATGTTCTGTTGGTTTTTACATGAAAACCAGTCGTTTGCACTTTGATTATTCCACAGCACATTTACACGTCCATCTGCAGGTCGTCCTCTGGATCACATGCTGAGGTGGTTCTGGAAGGAAGTCGCAGCCGTCAGTGTTTTGTTTGACGCCATGTAGAGGCCGATCTATACGAGCACGTGTTGTTACGTCTCTTCACAGCTGCTTTTGTTTCACGTTGCTGCCGTTTAACGCAGAGGATTTTCTTTGGTTCCCCAACAATAAAACTCAAACCTAAAAAAAACAAAAAAACCCCACAAAAAAACAAAAGGCAGCAAAGTGCAACTCTAATCATATACAAATATATCATCAGTCTCATACAGTTGCATCATGAGCCTTGATCATGCAGCATCATCGCAGGTGATTCAACATTTGTCAGTAAAACTAAAACAGAATATTTCAGTTCACTGTTCCATCTGAAGCAGACGGGCTAAACGTTTGTATTTTGGTAAACATCCATCTCGCTAAATTGTCCTCGAGCACAGACACAAGTATCCTGCTGTGTAGCTGCCACTGACCTCTGACCTCCCTGTGGCAGGAATATCTGTCTCCAAAACCTACACATATACGTCGGCGCAGACACAGAACGAAGCCCAGACGGCGTTCATTTGAAAACTATCCTATCAATCACATGAGGCGGTGAACTCGACAAGTCAGCGTAAGCATTTGCACATTACACAGAGCACTGAAGACGAGTGGTGAGCGAGGAGAACCGCTCTCTTTGTAGGTTTCTGTTTCAGATGTTTTGCATGTTACAAATTAACAGCACAGGAAGTTTAATACACTCATGTTTGATATTATCAATAATTATCAGTTATTGACAAGATTCCTATTTGTGCGTCTGTGTGTGTATGTGTGTGTGTTTTCGTGTTCGCTGAGGAAGTGTTATGTTCTTGTGCATCAGCAGACATTATTGATGTGACACTGGTGGAGGCAACTCACAGGTCAGGACATCCTATTACTGAACACTGTAACAGACCTCCATGGCCTGCATACTGCTCATACCAGCGTCTGCAGAGTAGATACGTGCATGCATGAAATATACTGTAAATAAAATCAGGCTTTCTTTATGCTTAGTCTTTGAGTGTACTGCACTTCACTTTTATACATTTTCCACTTATTTACCTTTGATTGATAAGAGGTACATGCTGCATTTTTGTGTTGATTTAAAAACACTACATGCTGCGTTCAGACGTGACAAACAGTAGAAATTGAAAACACATGAAATTACAAGTGTGTGGCTGCTGTTTAAATACATATTCAACAAATTCATATAGATGCACCATTAACCGCTGGGGGTCCTTACCACAGTCGGGAGTGATGCTCTTCGATCAGCTAGTGCTTTTGCGGGTCTTCTGAAGCTGCGTTTTCTCTCTCTGGAGTGTCCGCCTTCTGCTCCGTGACCCCAGTAACTACTCATCCACTTTGTGAAGTTTCCATCATCATCCTCGTCATTGTCCATGATAATCGCAGGCAGGAGCCTCAGAGACATGATGGAGCTGTGCAGTGCAGCAGGTCCTGGGACAACAGATGACAGTGTGATCCCAGCTGAGTGCTACACAGAGTAAAGACAACGCTCAGCTGACCTACTAAGCTCCTAACTGACTGGCTGCTCTACTACTCCACACTGTCCCACAAGGCAGAGGTACCTTACTTCAATTAGATCCCTCTGGTGCCTCAAGCGCTGTGGCTGTAGTTTGTTATTCTTGGATGATCCAAAAATAAACCGCAGAGCTTTTGCTCAACTCCTTAAATAAGCGAATCCTCTATAATCTATTTAGCGTCGCTGGGAGAAAGTAAAAATGGAGGTGATGGGAATAAACAGGGAGGCGGGGAGGAATGGCTAGTGTTTTGGCAGTGGGTGGGTGATGTGACCACTGCTTTTAATCTTTCCATTACAGTCATGGGCCCGGGGGTAGACAACTGAAACTCCAATTTCCCATTACTTTCCACTCGCTGAGTACATCAAACCTGTCAATAATTATGGAGTGCAGGCATCTCTGTGCGCTGTGAGCCTGGGGCTTGTGTAATACAGGGCAGAGAGGGAGCATATATTTTCATAATACACTGAGCACCACTGAATCACATTCTCTGTTTACTTGTTTTTGTTTTTGTATATGTAAAGTATTCTTTTTACACTTGTTTACAATACAAGTTAAGCAGCTAGAAAAGCAACAGTTGCACAAACTTGTACAAAAACAATCATAAGCACATTTTATAATTGACTTGTACTGGATCATAATGTCAAATCTTCAACCAAGGTACAAAATCTGACGGAGAAAAACAGTTATTATAACATGTTTTTAATTCTACAACTTAGATTAATTAAAGGGAGAACATATTATTATAACAAATATAAATAATGCAAGATGTTATAGAGTCATAATGGAGTCTCCAGGTGTTTGTTACAGGTCAAGAAACTGACTGACTGAAAAACAGGTTGTACTGAACATTTATGTAACTACTCTAATGAATTATAACATTGGAATGATTCATAAACTACTGAAGTAAACATTAGATAAGTAACTGCACACGAGCAATAAGAGCTTGAGGGAGTTGAAATTCTGAAGCTGAGGTTTACACTTGAACATGAACGCAACCTCCTTTCACACATTCACGAGCTGAAAGGATCAAAATGCTGCTGATTATCTCAGAGTCCTGAGTCTCAAAGAGGACGACTAATCCAGGCCGACTCTGTTATGAGACATTCATGCTGCTTTGTCATGTAACTCCCGACTGAGAACAAGATTACTGTAATCTGTTGTTTTTCCAAATACAGGAGCCAATTAAGATCACACCTGAACACAAGTGACCACAAATAATGATAGGTTGTAATAAGAATAATAATAATAACAAGAACGCAATGCAGTGTGAATGGAGACAAGCAATGCTTATACTGTGTTTTAAATCTGGTTGGAGGGGTGGAGGGTCAAAGTTGTGAATGAAGAGATTGTGATCCAACTCCCTATTGATTTACTGACTCATTTTTCTTTCTAATGGGTGTGTGTGTGTGTGTGTGTGTGTGTGTGTGTGTGTGTGTGTGTGCATGAGTGCGTGCATGTGCCAAAAATACTGGATTTTATAAACAATGTGTAAGAAAATACATCAAAGTATTTAAAAAACTACTCTCTGGACCCAGACCTGTTAACAAGAGAACAAAAAAACAACAACAAACTGTACACATTCAAATGTACCTGGATGAGCCTCTGAGCTGAACGCGATTAAATGTATTTATTTCAGGTGGTGTGTAAAGATTTACGCTTTCAAAATACCTGCTCCCTCCGTCCAAACGTTTCCCAGCATTACAGGAGCATCTCAGTGGCCACAGGCTACAGGACATCTAGTGGCAGGGGCCAGAACTCAGGCCCTAACAATAGCAGGCACATTTAACAGGAGTAACAGACAGAGTCAGGAATAGCCAGAAGATCAGACGCCCTTATTATAATCTCTGTAAAAGCAACAATATCTGCTGGGGCACAGAGGGGAGTTTCACTTGTAGCTAACACTCACACAGTACAAGGTTATTGTGTCTCATCACGTGTTGTAGTTTAGTGGCAAAATTGATTTTATGGCTTTTCAAAACAAGCTAGTGTGTTAGTGCAGAATTGATTATTTGATGTTTTAAGCTGCTCGACCCGGACAAATCAAAATATATACAATTTTCACATGTTTTATTCTTAATTTGGTATAAAATATAAATCCAAAAATGTTTATGAAGTTCAGAAGCTTCACTTTTTAATTTGGTACAACTCCAAGAAGAGCAGGAAACAGGTTACAAGTGATTTGCAGAATAATTTACAGAAAAATGTGAGCCAAAAAAAAAAAAAGGTCTATGTTACTGCAAGGACAAGGTTCTACACAGACTTCCCTCTAACCAGCTAAATACAATTGACTTTGAAAACTGCTCAGTGCTGGTTACTGAGGACAGATGGCCTTGGGCACAAATTGAGTAGCGAGGCTCCAGCACCGTCCAGACAGACCAGCACTAAGCTCTGAAATGGGACAGAGAGGAGACTGAGCCTGGCAAAGATACAAACACAGAAACACACGGTCAAACTCGTATGAGAAATCCACATCGATCAGGATAAAAGGCTGAAACGCCCACGCAGTTTGAAAAGAAAACAGCCTTTGATATTGAAATGATTGCACTACATTGCAGCACTGTCTTTTTGTGACAGCAGAAAGCATTTCCCACAATGTCTCCAACAAATGTGCAGAGGTGTACATACATCATTTTTAATTCAATTGGTTATTTCTCTTCAGTACAAGAGTGGGACAGAGCCACAATAGCGGGGGTACATTGAGTCAGCAGCACTGCCCCCTGGTGGCTGCAGTGACCCTGCACACAGACAAATGACCACTTTTTGTAATTTTTTAAGACAAAATTGTACAAATTTTTTCTTTGATTTACATCACAAGCAAAACTCAAATTGGTTCCTTACATGTAAAACTGGGAATCCATATTTCTATTCACATTGACATGCAAACTGAATGGTAAATCTTGTAGCAGGTAGTATTCCAGTTTAGGCCTGCTGGTTTATTTCTATAACCATCTTCTTTATAAAATATTTAAGACACTAAACAGAACGTTTTCTTATGTATAAATAGTTATAAATCAATATTGATAAATAATTAATAATACATATTTATTCATATTTATATCCACATTTCAAATATATTTTCACACTTAATTTACAGTGCATCAGTAGGAGTCCCAGAGAGCTACTAAAATTAACTTCTGTAGGCAGTATTTATCCTGCTTCTGAGTATGGACTACAAAGTCCGCGGTAGAACTACAACTACACACAGCCCCTGAATCGACCGCCGGTATCCCATGATTCTTCGCTGTGTGTGCGTGACCTCGCGGAACACGGGAAGAAGAAGCGGCCCCTGCTCACGCTGTCTGCTGGTGGTGGTACTGACTGGCTACATTGCTCGGTTGTAGATCATGGCTGCGTCAAAGCCAGTCGAGCCGCAGTCCGGGACTGGACTACCCCGCTGGCAGCTGGCACTGTTAGTCGGGACTCCTATAGTGCTGGGAGTGGGAGCAGTTTACCTCTGGAACCGCAGCAGGACGAAGGAAAGGAAAGGGACCGGGGAGCGGAAAACACCAGAAGGCAGCGCCAGTCCCGTGCAGGGCCAAGACGGCGCAGCTCGAGCCAGCCGCGAGCAGGAGAACATGGTAACTGTTGCCTGGAGACTCATCCCGCCTCTGCTGTCAATGTAACGGTCACCGCATTAGCACGATGTGCTTATGTTTAATGCGTACGCGTTGATGACTAAACCCATCAATACAAGTACAGTCAAGGACACCGACCCTTGCTGACGCTGTCAGTGACAGTTACCTTCGCCAGAGCAAGGCCGATAGCGAACATGGTAGCAACCGGCTCACCGGTGGTGGATTAGCCAATATTAACTGCTAGCTAGCTGTCCCGTAAGATAACATTATCATGGAAGCGAGCTAGGTTAGCTAGGTGAACTAGCCTCGCAGCAAATGTCTAATATTATTGATCTGGAGAGCAAGAATGATCGACACACTGAGATTTCAGCTGGTTAACCATGCGGCTAACACATGTGGGCGTAACATGACGAGTTTTAATTTATCGTGTTTTTGTGCATGCTAGCTAAGGTTATTCTGTGGGTAAGTCAAGTGGGGCGGGGATGGCTGTCAGTTGAATCGGTCTGTTTTGACAGAGCCAGTTTTATTATATAGTGTAACAGGCTACAAGTGGCTGTCAACTCATTCACTTTGTACTACCATCTATTAGTAGCCTAATGCGCAATACCTGACTAACATAGGCAGAATTATGTAAGTCTATGTTACCTTTTTCTGAGTGATTGTCAGTCCAAAATATTTAGAAAATTTTAAAATGTTGAACTAAACTCAAGCCTTCGGACTGTAGTATAACTAAACCGACATGTCACCCAGCCTTAATTTAGTGGCAGATGTCACAGGTATGTTGTCAGTGAGAGGTTTCTCTGTCTCTATCATTATTGATTGTGTATGATTTTACGTTTAGAGTAATTATGGCTTCCATATGTTTTATTCATACTGTCTAATTATTCATTCAGGATTCATTTGAGGCATTCAGTTATATTAATGTAAAGTCATGCAATAACCATTAGTATGCTAGGATTGTGCAGGCATCATAATTAATTGCAGTTATTAAGGCAAACTGGGAAACTGGTTGCTTTATCAGCTTACCAGTACAAGTACTATAAATCAGTGGTTCTCCAGGGGTCCTTAAGGGGGTTCCTGGTGGTCCCCAGCAAAAGGTGAATCATTTATTTCCACTATAATTCCATCCATAAATAACAAAAAGACAGGATTTGTGACTATTTTGGTCATTGGTTTCAAACACTTTCTGTAATAAAACATCTAAAAGCAAAAATGTAATCAGTGGTCGACCCCGGGACAAAATTATAAAATGGGGCTCTGTGGTTTCTGTCAGTTTAGGGGTCTGTGATGTGAATAGGTTTTGAGAACCATTGCTATAAATTGTGTCACAGTTCAATCATAGACGTTATCCATTGGTCCAAGTGTATATGTTGTTTCAGCGTTTCCTAGCTTCCTTATGACACCGTTGGACTCAAATTTTGAGTTTATGCACATCCATGAATGTTTGATTTGCTGTAGAGAGAGATAGTGGTTCTCCAGGGGTCCTTAAGGGGGTTCCTGGTGGTCCCCAGCAAAAGGTGAATCATTTATTTCCACTATAATTCCATCCATAAATAACAAAAAAGACAGGATTTGTGACTATTTTGGTCATTGGTTTCAAACACTTTTCTGTAATAAAACATCTAAAAGCAAAAATGTAATCAGTGGTCGACCCCGGGACAAAATTATAAAAATGGGCTCTGTGGTTTCTGTCAGTTTGGGGGTCTGTGATGTGAATAGGTTTTGAGAACCATTGCTATAAATTGTGTCACAGTTCAATCATAGACGTTATC